CATTGAAAGACATGCCTCTTCTAATACATTTGCTTACCCCAAAGTCAATCTCTAGAAATTTCAAGGGATTGATTGTCGCTCTTGAGAGGGCATCTAGTGTGACCAATATACTGGTCATGTCATAGGCCTTGATCTAAGTAATAGTTCTCTTTTGGGTACTATCAATTCCAACAGTAGCCTTTTCTGCCTTGGTCATCTTTAATACATCAACCTTATTTTCAATGACTTTAACTACGCTCAAATACCACCTGCATTGGGCAATCTTTTTAGGTTAACTTATCTCAACCTCTTTAGTTATTTCTTCTATGGTCAAGTACCATCCGAAATTTTCAAACTCTCATAGTTAAGCATGACTTGTCTTTTAGTCCTAATTAATCATATCAAAGATGGTTGGAACTCAAAAAAACTGATTTAAATAGCCTAATTCACAACTTAATTGGGCTAGAATGGCTTGACCTTTCTTAGTTAGTGTAAACTCTCCAATACCTAATGTGGTTGCAAATTTGTCATCAACTACATGTCTTCATCTCATTCAGTGTGCATTGTTTTGGAAAGTTTCCCATATCCATTTTCCAACTATCAAAACTTGAGTGCATTTTTGTGAGTGGCAACTAGGGTCTTGTTGGTAGTTTGCTTGAATTTTACTTTAGCAATCTGCTTGAGGCATTATTAGTTGCTAATACAAGTTTTTCTAGTGAGTTTCCAACGTTGTTTGGGCTCCTTAGCTCTTTGAAACATTTGGAAGTTAAAAATTGCAACTTTTTAGGATTATTGCCATCTTCACTCTCTAATCTCACCAACCTATACCACTTTAGTTGCTAGAATAATTCTTTCAAGGGATCAAAGGTTCCTTTCTTATCAAACATCATACAACTAAGATATTCAGATCTTAGTTTAAATCAGTTCACTTTTAGTGAGATCCCTTCTCTTATTAGCTTGACTCACCTCCATGTGTTACACCTTTCCTATAATCACATCACAGGTCGATTTCCATCTTGGCTTACAAACCTAATCCAATTGACGTTGTTGAGCCTTAGTTGAAATATGTTAAAAGGGCCTGATGAGTTGAATTTATATATATATATATATATGTATATCTATTAATGCAGAATTTTTTCCTTGACATTATTGATATTTAGATGAATTTTATGAGATTTTACTTGATTTTACATAATTTTCATTTTTTAATGTAAAAAAGGACTTAATTAGAAGAAATCATAATTTTTAAGAGCAAATTACAAAGATTTAAAAGTTGAGGATTAAGTTATGCAAAATTCAAAAGTTAAGAGATCTATCATTTTACTATTAACAGAAATTGCTTAGGAAGCCAAAAACCCGACTAGATGATCTCATTGTCTGCTTAACAGAAGGTGTTGGTGCCTTTTTGAAGGTGTTGACCTCTCACGCATTTTCACAAAAATCCATGTTTAATTTATTATTTTGGGTGTGGGTCTCACTTTTATTTTAATTAAGGTTTTAAAATCCTATAAATACCCATTCAAATTGAAAATTGGAAGAGCTTTGGAAGTTAGCGATAGCTCTCTTTTGGCCACTCTTAAAGATAAAGATGGAGGATTCATCAATAATAAAAAAATTAATGATTTCAACTACTTCAAATTATATTTTGTTTTTCCTTAGATATTCTTATATTTATAATTACGATTTCAAGTTTATTATTTTTATCATGAACTAATTTATTTTACTAAGATCACGATGTAACTTAATCAATTTAATATAGATTTTGTGATTTTTATACTTTTAATTAAAGTTATTCACATGATAAATTTATATTATTAAACTTAATGTATTGAAAGCCTGATCACCTTTCAATTGATTTAGTGATTTATGCATGAACTTGAAAAAGAATTAAATAAATTAGACTAATAATAATATAAACTATGTTTTTTTTTTTTAACAGAAAAGGATATATATATTAATAAACAGAGTACAAGGGGTACCCAAAACCCTTAACAAAACTGTTTGAGAAGCCTACTTTTACATGAGTGATATAGCAAGGTGTCGACACCCTCTCAAAGTATCGACACAATACCCGTGACGAGAATTAATCCACCTGTGCATTTACACAAAACAACACGAAACCCAGCCACTAAATGTTAATTCCATCTTTCAGACTATTCCTCCCTAGCTTTTACCACCACAATTCTCAGTGAGGCATGCAATAGGATTGCTTATCCAATCTGAAAGAGTAAAGTAACACCAGGCTTTTTTTGCTTTAAACCATAAGAACAATCGAATTTGAACCAGATCAAATAGCTTACCCGGGTCCATCTCTTGGTTCTGGAAGATCCTTTGATTCCGCATCAGTGATATGGACCATACTATTGCACTCCAGGTACAATCACATCCTTTTCTGATCCTCGTGTTTCTGGTCCACACCCCAGGATGTTCAAATGTCTTCCAGCAGTCCTCTTGTGTCTCTATATTGATCCCCCACCACCTATCACACTCCTTCCATATCCATCTTACATTTTTGCATTTCAGAAACAGATGGGTTGCGTCTTCTTCCTCTTCTTGACACAGGTTGCAATTGCCATCGCCCATGATTACGCCAAATCCTTTTTTTAGCAAATTAGATTTGGTTGGTAGTCTATTGAGCAGCAGTTGCCAGTTGAAAGCAAAGATCTTGGTTGGCAAGTTGGGGTTCCATATTCTCCTAAAGACCCTTTCTTGAGTCGGACACCTCGGCACCTTTGTTAAAAGTGAGTACACTGTTTTGGTTGAGTAACGGAAATCCTTGCTGTGAATCCACTCCCATTCATCGGGTCGGCCAGGAGCAATCTTCACACCCTCAATCACCGTACTGAGTTCCGTTGCTGCCTCTTCTTCCCTTTCGAACAGCTTCCTTCTCCATGTAAGATTCCATTTCCACGTTCCATTGCACATAGATCCCATTTGGCAGCACTCTTTCTCCTTTCCCTCAGATAAGAGATACAATCTCAGGAATCTGTTTGCTAGACAAATCCCCCCACTCCACTCATCCCACCAGAAGCTTACGTCATTCCCTTCTCCTAACTTCAGTCTAAAGCCTTCTATTAACCACCCTGTAATTTCCCCTTCTACATTATCAATCCTTCTAACATCTCTCCACCAAGAAGAACAAGCCCCTACACCATTCCTAACCCAATCCATCCAGTGCCCCCCTCCCTCACCATATTTGCTTGCAATCACTTTCCTCCATAATCCATCCTCCTTTACTGCTAGCCTCCCCCACCATTTACCCATTAGTGACAAGTTAACATACCCTAGGTCTCTCACTCCCAACCCTCCGCACTCTTTCGGCATGCAAACCTTCTTCCAATTGACCCAATTAATTCTTTTCCTTTCTCCCTCCCCACCCCATAGGAAACTTTTATGAATTTTATCAATAGCTTTGAGAGTGCCTTTTGGAAGAAGGTATACTGACATTAAGAACATAGGCAAACTGGACAACACAGGCAAACTGGACAACACAGAGTTGATGAGCGTAATTCGACCCCCAAGAGAAAGTTGCTGACCCTTCCAACTTGTCAACTTCTTTTTAAAAGACTCCAACAAGGGCTGCCACATTGTGAGCCTTCTATGGCTTCCCCCGATAGAAATTCCCAGGTATTTAAATGGAAATTCCCCTTTTTTGCAGCATAATTTATAGGCCATTTTGCTTCCCTAGCTGTCTTCGACATTGATGCCCATCAGTTGGCTCTTTTGTAGATTAATTTTCAAACTGGAGAGCAGCTCAAAAGTCCTCATTATACTTTTAATCACCATGATGTTGTTTTCTGTTGCTTCCCCAAAAAAGATGGTGTCATCTGCGAATTGAAGGTGGGTGACCATTACCGCATCGTTGCCAACTGTCACGCCCTTATATAACTCTTTTTCAACTGCAGAAGACATTAAACCATTCAATCCTTCCGCTACTATCAGGAATAGGAAGGGAGATAAAGGGTCTCCTTGGCAAAGTCCCTTGCTAACTGAGAATTGTCTAGAGGGGCTTCCGTTGACCAAAATTGAGACCGTGCTGGATTGTAGACACTCATGTATCCACATTCTCCAAGTATTGCAGAAGCCCATCCTCATCAGCATATAGTCTAGGAAGTCCCAACACACCTTATCGTATGCTTTTTCAAAATCGACCTTGAAAAGGAAGCTTCTCTTCTTTTTCCTCTTCGCCTCATCAATCACTTCATTAGCAATAACCACACCATCAACCAACTGTCTACCTTCGATAAATGCCATTTGCTGCTCCCCGATAGCTTTGTCCAGCACTTTCTCGAGGCGATTTGCTAATAGCTTCGCAATTATCTTATACGTAACTCCGATAAGTGAAATGGGCATGTATTCTTCAATCCTTTAGGGGTTTTCTACCTTCGGAATTAGAGTTATGAAAGAAGCATTTGATTCTCTTACAAGCCTGCCTTGTTCCTGGAACTCTCTAATAAAATTTGCAATCTCCATTTTTATATCTTCCCACATGCACTTCACAAATTTGAAATTAAATCCATCTGGGCCTGGAGATTTTGACGATTCATAATCCCAAACAGCATTTTTAATTTCTTCTTCCGAGAATGCTGCCATGAGGGATTCGTTGTCTGCCTCGTCAATCTGTCGGAAGCTGATACCATCTAACTTGGGTCTCTACCACCTATCTTCTATAAAAAGCTACTCAAAATAACCCTCCATTTTTTCTTTAATTTCACCCACGCCCTTATGCTGTTCACCATTAATCTGGATGCTGTTGATTTCGTTTTTTCTCCATCTTCCCTTCACACACATATGGAAAATTTTGGTGTTTGCATCACCTTCTTTTAACCACATCAATCTTGATTTTTGCTGCCACATGTTCTCTTTTAATTTGAGGTTCTTCCACAGTTCAAGAAAACTACTTCTCTTCTTTTCAATTTCAGAAGGTGACAATTGAACATTCTCTCCTCTTTCGTCCAGTTGGGCTATCACTCTCTCAGCTTCCATTATTTTCCTATCCACCTCTATCACTGAGTTTCTGCTCCATTCTTTCAAAGCTTTCTTCGCACTTTTTAGCTTCTCCTTGAGCTTGAAACCATACCATCCCTCCACTGCCGTAGAGTTCCATGTTTTCCTAATCATCTCCTTGCACCCAGGATCCTGCAGCCAAGCATCAAAAAACTTGAAAGGCTTTGGTCCCCAGTCCACCCTCTCGTGCTTCAATAAAACAGGACAGTGGTCTGAAACTGTTCTTTCCAACCCCCACTATTTTGCATCGCACCATCTCAAAAGCCAATCCTCTAAAACCAAGAATCTATCAATCCTGGTCATATATTGGCCATTAGCATTATACCAGGTGTACTTCCTCCCTACCATAGGCAAATCAACCAACCCAGATTCGGTGATGAAACTGTCAAAATCTTTCATTTCTTTGGACATCCCATTGCACCCTGCCCATTCCCTTGAGCTTCGGACAGCGTTAAAGTCCCCCCCTAAACACCAGTTGCCTTTCCTATTTGGGATCAGATTCTGCAACTCCTCCCACAAAGCTCTATTTCCAGACAATTCACATGGAGAATAAATGTTTAGAATATAAACTGGTACTCCCTCTTCCCCCCATAATCCAAAAGCCCCAATGAAATGGTCCCCCTCTAACACCTCTTCCTTTTTAAAAATTTTTTTATCCCACATACACAGCAATCCGCTCGATAGCCCCTTAGATGGCTTGGCTATCCAATCAAAATCCTCCGTCCCCCACACCCTCCTACACAGCTTCCTGTCAACAACTTCCAATTTGGTTTCTATGTGTTAGAAACTATGTGTTAGACTATGTGTTAGACTATAAAACTGAGAGGTTATTAGTGTCACATGTAGTAGTAGAGGAAGAGAGCTAGGAGCTCCCCTTTTTAAACTAAAGGTTTACATAGAATTTAATATTCATTAGTTTGTTTAAAACTACATAGAGATGTAATTAATTTAACAAATAAATAAAGGATTAACTTGACTTCAGAAAACTAATTAGTTAATTTAGGGAAATTCGTCATCATATGCAATAACACTCAACAAATTATTTTTGGAAGCATATTAATCCAAAATTTATATTGATTGATTATGGTGAAATCAATGCCTTACTAGCTCATATCTTGATTAGTTTTACTTCAATTGTTATTTCTTTTTATTATTTTTAATTAAAATGTCTTCCTTTTCGATTGTTCAAATACATTTAGATTAATTATTTTGGGTACTTAGTAACAATTATAGTGGGTTCGACATTCTACTCATCATTATATTATTTAGAACGACTAGTACACTTGTTAAGGTGATTTTAATACATCAAGTTTTTGACGCTGTTGTCGAGGATTGTTGATTTAATTAATATCGAAGTTGGTTAATTTTAAATTTAATTTGAACATTTTCTTTTCTTTTATTTCTTTGCTTTGATTTTTTTTTTTTCATTTCTTTTATTTTTGTTTTTATAGGTTTAATTATTTATCGAGTTGTTATAGACACTGATGTAAATTATCAATGTCTTACTCCAAAGTTAAGGACACAACTTGAAGCAATAACTATCAATTGGGAAGTAGAAATTGACTATGATGAACTTGAATGATTTCGAGCAGTCATTGAAAAGTTTGAATTAAAAAAGGTTATAATAAAATAATTTAATATTATTTGTTGATAGTGTGAATTAGAGTATTTTAGTTTTAATTGCTATTTTAAACCATCTAACATGTTAATTTTTCATGTGATTTTTATAGCTAGCAATGTAATTCTTATCCCAATACATGCAAATTTGATTGAATAAATTATCCACACTCCTCATGGGATAATGAAGATATATTAGAGCCACACTCAAGGTTTCAAGCTTGAGAAGAGGAGACATGTTGAGTAAAAATCTAGAAGTTCAATCAAATTATCTGCTTAACTTAGTTGCTAAAAAAATACAAAGTGAGTTACCTAGTGCAATAATGACAAATCAAGAAGAAAAAGTAAATACTTTGCCCTTGGAGATTGAAGGACAACTTGGTGATTGTTGCCATAACCAACTTTTAGTAAATCACAGTATCTCTTATAGCACCCGATGCGGTCCACAACCTGTGTGTTTTGACCTTTGCTACATTCAATATGCCACCGTTGATGATGTTGGTAATGACCCCGTAGCCGGGGGCTCGACCAGTTGCGGTGTCTGCGGCGGATGGGGTCCATTTTCCGGTGATTACATCGTGACATGAAGGTTTGGGGGACTGTGGTCATCCAGAACCAAAGACCTGTCTTGAAAGAAATGGTAGCGTCTGTTGCTACAGCATCAGGGTCATTTAGCAAGTTGTAGTTAATAGCTTTTCCCGCTGGACTGTAGTTGTAATTGCTGCAAAGTCAAAGTCAAGGTCAAAAGTCAACAATTGAAAAATTGCCCCTTCAATATGAGAAGTCATTTCCAAATTTTCAAGAATCATTTCCTTCTCAAGGCAGCCTAAAAAGAAAATTGGGATAAACTTATTATTGGATTTCACTTAAGTGATTAAGAAATTATTTGAGTTATGTTGAAAATATAAATTTAAATTCTTTTAACGTTATTAAAGTTAAATAATTTTAATAAGTTGTATTTATAATTTTTAAAAATTGAGTTTTATTTAATATATATAAATAATATGACTTATAAATACCCATAAAATTAATTAATTAAAGATTAGAATATCTATATATATATTTATATATAAAGAATAAATACAGTTCTTTCTTTGCCAAAATAAAGAAAGTAAATAGGAAAAAAATTTAAAAATTGTGGGACAAAGTCACAAGGAGTGTAATTAGTTAATACTTACTCTGAAATCTGGATGGGACCTCGGCCATATTACTTCTTACCGGGAACACAAGGTCATTGTTGATTTGGAACACAATAATCTCCAGGTTTACCTTGCTCCCAGCAATAGCCCCATGCATCTGGAACATCTGGAGCGGTAGCCCACCCACCTGTACACAGAGTCATTAATTACAAATTAACAATCTTCACATTTTGTAAAGGTTTTAATTTCAAAATTTCCTATTCCTATAAAAGTTACATACTTACAAAAAAAAGGTATATATGAATAGATTTGTGAAATGGGTATAGGAATTAAACCTGTAGTTTCATGAGAAGTTTGATCTAAGAAGGCGGCGATCTCTCTTTTCTGAGTGTCAATGTCACTGGTGGTACCAAAAGCGCCAAAAGAGTTGGCTGCAGCAATGAAAGCATCATAGGTGTAGAACCCCTTGGTAGGGCAGGCAGCATCGTTGCGATGCTTGAGCATCTCATTGAAGAGGCCTCGGCTGATGAGTGGAGTAATATCAGCCAAGGCCCCAACTGCGGATGCCAAGGCGAACAAAACTAGAGCCCAAACACTCATTCTTTCTCTCTTCCTATAACGTAAAAGTATTTCAGTACTAGTGTTGGTTTGTGGAGTGAGAGATACAGAGGAGGGTATTTATAGAGCCAAGAATATTGTATGAATTGGGAGACTTTCTCGAGGCCAGAGTGGAAGACCTTGACAATTGAAGCATATGTGGTCTTTATGATTGAAATTAAGAAGTTCGGTTAGTACGAGTTTTGTTTATCTTGATTCTTGATAATGCACATGTTATGTCAATGGAAAATGATGCGTTCACACTGTAAAGTTACACACTCGGTCACATACTGTCTGTCCTTCTATTAAAATACATTTTCTACTATGGATTAGCTTATTCCTTCCTTGTCCAGGATTATATCCCTAATGTTAAAATCCCCTCCATATTCAATTCAATTATGGGGAGAAAGAGGCATGAGTTTTGAGGATTTTTAGCTCTAGGTTTTGGGGGGAGAACCGGTGGCAAAACAAAATGGTAGAAAGGGATGAATATATGCAGAATTTGATTGATTAAGGAAAAGAAGAAACATGATTGATTCATTTCGTCTTGAAGATAGAAACAAGACCACCATGATTGATGTTCTTCTATCTCTGCAAGAAAGTCAACCTGATTATTACATAGATGATATTGTTAGAGGCATGATGCTAGTAAGAATTTTGAAAGCATTGACTTTTTAATTTCCCTAATAAAAATTTCCATTTGATTTTCCTGCCATCCAAACAATCAAAATTCCTTAATTTCTAGTTACAAGTCATGTTATCACTTGGGATTGACACATTAGCTAGAACTATGGAATAAGTACTATCTCTTTCGGTAGACAATCCAAATGCCCTTAAATAGGACATGACGATAGGACGAAGTAGGCTAATTAAGGAAATCCCCTCCATATTCCAATCAAATCTAAGGGAAAAGAGGCTTGGGTTTTGGGGATTTTTAGATCTAGGTTTTGAGGAGGAGAGTCTGCGACAAAACAAAATGGCAAAAAGGGGTTCATTAATTGAATTTGAGGGGTCTAGATCTCGACTGGTCTCAAGTGGTTTTCTTTCTTGTATCTCTCGAGTGCTCTCTTCTTGGATCCAAGGTATAAAAAAGGAAGAAGAGGAAGGAGCTCATGGATTTATTGGTGTTGAATGCACTTGTCATGTATGATTTTCAATTGCTCCCTAATTGAGTGTTGTGAATTTTGCGGTTTGTTAATTAAAATTGTGATTAAAGCTAATGGAGGACCAATTCAACCTTAGGTTTCCTCCATCTCAACTAGAAATCGAATCTTGATAACCTTGGCAAATTTTTTGATTTTATTTTACATTTTTTCTGATTTCTTGTGAGTTGTTGGAAATATCTAACTAGTGTTTTGAAGAAAATGGATTATTAGCAACATCAGGCCAATGTCTGACCCATTTTTTGGCTGAATGAAATGTTGTAAAAATTCTTTACATATGTGACATTCTTTAGAAATGTGAAATTGAAAACTTACTTGGGAAACCTAGTAGCCTCTTTAGTGTAAGAAGATGGAGAAGCTTAGTAGTACAAAATTAGGGGATCTTTGCTTCTTACATAAATCAACCATGAATGTAAGCAAGATTAAGTCTTTCTCCAGCTAACTTCAAATAGTGGGGTATTTATATTTTAATTGGTGTGTAATAGAGGGTGAAGGATTGCGATGTATGCCAATCATATCGTCCCATGCCAATAATAACACCGAGTATATATATAATGTATATATTCCAATATTCCAACAAAAGTTTAGCTATGTTTTTTTTTTGAACAGAAAATATATATAATATTTATTAAAAAATGGAATACAAGGGGTACTCCAACCCATTAACATCAAAAGTTTTTACAGAAGGTGTCGACACCCAAATGAAGTGTCGGCACTATGCCCGTGACGGGAATTCTGCCTTCTTTTGTATTCTCAATAACTCTCCCTGATCATAACAGCAAACCTTCGCCCATCACACCCACTGGCCCAGAAGACCTTGATCAAGCATTGACTACAGTTAAATTCCCTTCCGTTCATTATTTGTTCCAAAGTCTTAATGGGTCCCCATAATACAGCCATTCAACCCCTCTACACAAAAGCCATAGACAAACCATCTTTATATCAACACCACCCTCCCCTCCCACAGATTATTCATTTGGTACCCTTCTTTTCCTATGGCAATCTTTCAAGCATGCAGCTGGATTAATAAACCAATCCGTTAAAGTGAAGGCATACCTTTCTTTTTTTGCTGTGATCCACTGGAACGTCTTTAATTGTATGAGTTCCAGCAGCTTCTCTCGGTTAATCTCATTGCCCATGTTTGTTTCCTGATCTTGAAATATCTTCCTATTTCGCAGAAGCCAAATTGACCAGATCACTGCACTCCAGATACAATCCCATGCATTTTTGAGCCGTTTGTCATTGGTCCATGCCTCCAAGTGGTCGAAGGTTGTCTAGCAGTCCGCCTCCAACCTTATAGAGATCCCCCACCATTTAGCACACTCCTTCCATATCCATTTCGCTACTTTGCATCTCAAAAACAAGTGGGCTGAGTCTTCATCTTCCTCCTCGCAGAGCCTGCACTTCACATCGTCCCTCACACTGTCAATTCCTCTTTTCAACAAGTTCTTTTTGGTTGGGATTTTATCAAGCACAACTCTCCAGTTGAATGCTGCAATTTTGGTTGGAATATTGTGATTCCAAATTCTTTTAAAGCATTTTTCCTTTGTAGTCTGTTGTGCTTTTGTCAGCAGCGAATAAGCTGATGAAGATGAGTACTTGCCGTCACTCTTGTGCACCCACTCCCATTTATCTGTGATTCTTGGTTGAATTTTTACTTCCTCGATCATTTTTGATAGCTTGTGTGCCAATTCTTCTTCCCATTCCATCAGTCTTCTTCTCCAATTTAATTTCCATTCCCATGTTCCATTAAGCTCTCTCCCCATTTGGCAGCATTTTTTCTCCTTATCTGAAGATATCAAATATAACCTAGGAAACAAGTTAGCAAGACAGCTCCCCCCACACCACTCATCCCACCAGAAACTCACCTCTCTACCCTCCCCCATCTTTAATCTAAATCCCTCAGCTAACCACCCGATATTGTCCCTCTCGACATTGTTTAACCTCTGGACATCTCTCCACCATAGAGAGCCACCCTCAATTCCATTTCTAACCCAGGTCTGCCAATGCCCCCCTCCCCCTCCATATTTACCTTTAATGACTCGTTTCCATAGTCCCTCTTCTTCTGTTGCTAATCGACCCCACCATTTCCCCATAAGCGCTAGATTAAACTTCTTTAGATCTTTCACACCTAGCCCCCCGTACTCCTTATCTTTGCAGATCATATCCCATTTTACCCAATTAATCTTTCTCTCCGCTCCCTCTCCCCCCCATAAAAAATTCCTGCGAATTTGATCAATTAAATTAAGTGTACCTTTTGGGATCAAGTAGACGGACATCAAGAACACGGGGAGGCTGGACAACACTGAGTTAATAAGTGTAATTCGACCACCTTGGGAAAGATACCGCCCTTTCCAACTTGACAGTTTCTTCCTAACCGAATCAAGCAATGGCTGCCACATCTTAAGCCTTCTATGGCTCCCCCCAATGGGAATCCCCAGGTATTTGAACGGGAATTCCCCTTCTTTACAGCCTAATCTATAAGCCATTTTGTTTCTCCAATCATCATCCACCCCTATGCCCATTAGTTGACATTTTCCAAAGTTAATTTTCAGCCCCGCCGCCAATTCAAATGTCCTCAAAATACACTTAATTGTCCTTACATTTTGCTCGGAGGCCTCTCCAAAGAATATGGTGTCATCCGCAAATTGTAAGTGAGTGACTGTTACTGCATCCTTTCCGATCTCCACACCCTTATACAACTCTTTGTCAACAGCTGCTTTCATCAATCCATTTAAACCCTCAGCCACAATCAGGAATAAAAAGGGGGATAGAGGATCTCCTTGTCGGATGCCTTTTGTGACCGGAAATTGGCGTGTTGGACTCCCATTAATTAGAATTGAGACCATGCTCGATTTCAAGCATTCTTGGATCCACCTCTTCCAAGTGGCACTAAAGGCCATTCTGTCAAGCATATAATCAATAAAATTCCAGCACACCTTGTCATATGCCTTCTCGAAATCCACTTTGAACATGAAGCTTTTCTTCCTCCTCCTCTTCGCTTCATCTATAACTTCGTTTGCAATGACTACTCCATCCACCAATTGTCTGCCCTTGATAAATGCCATCTGTTGTTCTCCAATGATCTTATGTAGCACTTTGCATAGGCGGCTTGCTAGTAGTTTTGCTATCACCTTATACATGACACCAATGAGGGATATGGTTCTATATTCTTCGATTCTTTGCGGGTTCTCGGTTTTAGGGATCAACACAATGAAGGAAGCATTAGACCCTCTTTCTAATCTGCCCTGTTCTTGGAATTCCTTTACAAAACCAATCACCTCGGTTTTAATGTCCTCCCACATGGATTTCAAGAAACCAAAGTTGAAGCCGTCCGGGCCTGGGGCTTTAGAAGAGTCACACTCCCAAATGACTTTTCTCACTTCCTCTTCAGAGAAAGGTGCTACAAGGAGCTCGTTATCAGCTTGGCTTATCTGCTTAAACCCAATTCCATCAAGTTTGGGACGCTGCCATACCTCTTCAGTGAATATGTTCTTGAAATATTCTGCCACCCCCTCCTTTATTTCTGTCACACCAGTGAGTTGCTTACCATTAACCAAAATGCTACAGATTTCATTTCTTCTTCTTCTCCCATTTACGCTTCTATGAAAGAACTTGGTGTTTGCATCCCCTTCTTTGAGCCACATTTTCCTTGATTTTTGCTGCCACATACTCTCCTTGATTTTTAAGTTGTTCCACAGATCGATAAAGCACCCTCTCCTTCTTTCTATGTCGGAATGTGTCAATAGGCTATTTTCACCTTTCTTATCCAGCTCTTCAATCTCCACTTCAGCCTCCATAATATTCTTCTCAATTGTTGTCATTGAGCTTCCACTCCACACCTTGAGAGCCTTCTTGGTGAATTTCAGCCTTTCTTTCAACCTGAATC